TTCGAATTCCAGTCGAAACCATTACAGTTACTTACGTGCAAATACTCTTGAGAAGGGTATGAATCCTCTTCTTCTCACTGCCAGCTATGAGTAAATAGGACAGAAAATGTTCTCTAGCATTGGATGGCAACTGACCTACCGCAGAAAGAAATAGCAATCTACTGCGGGAAAAAATCTGCCTCGTCAGTCATGTATCGAAAGTTATATGATCGCATAAGCATGTCTTCAATGATCTGTTGTTTGTTCATATGTAATGGAGAAGTTTCTGCAATATTTGCCTTCCACATCGCTTTTGTTGTAGAAGACTAACGACTCTTTGTGGTAGACATTGAAGTTTACCGCATTTGTGAAAGTTGGCTGAGGGGAATTCGGTGAGGATATTGTCAATCCTCCCTGATATTCGATCGAAGTATACCGATCCCTCATCCTGGGGACGATACAGGGCAAAGACGAATGTAGTACTATGGATAAGTGCCATGTGGAAATACATATACAGGAGATCAGGTTCCTCGATTTTTGTGCCCCTGACACAGGGAAACCCGTTCCGATCCTTACGATTTTGGTGGTCGAATTTTTCTATAATGTGTGAGTAACCCGTGATTGTGAACTCCTGCAATGAGATTGAGGTACTGATACCTGCTTCAGACAGGAACAGGTTGTGTAGTTTAGAGTGAATAAGATGGCGTTTCACCTTAGGAAATTTGGAACACAGACCCCTTGCATTAGTGTAAGGTTTGGTATAACTGAGGTCTAGTTCTTTTTTTATTCTTTTTTTGAGCTTGCGTTTGCTAGCTTTGTTCGTTGTCAGTTTGATTTCTTTCATGTTTGCTTTAGTTGGTTTGGTAGCTCACTAGTAGACAATGAAACAGACACCTATTGGATATTTACGTATAAATAATCAGGTTTGACTCGCCTGGAGATACTGTCGTAACAGTACCCATCATCATGGCATCGAGAGGCCACACCAGAGAATACTGCACAGTTCAGAAACCATTTACAAAATTGCAGTAAATGAACCCTAACTTATAAGCCTGATGATAGGATAGCCTTCTTCGAAGTTACCCGAAGGTTCAGATCCCTGACTATCAAGTGGGTAACGCCAAAACACTAAAAAACGTTTACATCCAGCACCCTTAATGGGGGTGAGGCAAATAACCCATGCAAGTATCAAGCACGATATTCTAAGTGTATGTGTCTCGTTCGCCTAAAGGTCAGGGCAACATAATTCCTCCTTGGATCTGAAACATCGTACCGGCTAGAGACTTAGGGTAGGAAAGCAATCTCGCTAATACACATCAGGACTAAAAGACGCATTGTGAAAAGCGTGGGGTGACGAAGAGTGGGGTGCATGTGCATCCCCTACCCACATCTGAATTAGTATCTGGAGCATAGTCGTTAGACTGAGGACATACGGAGGGAAGTAAATTATTCACTTTGAGAGCGAGAGAGAGAAAAATAAAAATAAGAATTAATATACAATAATTACACCTGTCAAAGACACTGGGGCGGGAATTGACAGTTGTTCTGAGAATTCATTAGAATCGGCTGACCAAGGGGACAGGGAAAAGATTAAGGATTGGTGTGATTGCTTCTTTCTTTCTATGTACCGTGTCCCTTCAGGACGTAGGCGATCATAGCTGTCCACTTCCCCTATTCCTTGTAGCTCCCAATAAGCTTCATCCTTCTGCCACCTCCTCAAGAGCACATTCTGTCATACATTTGCTTAAGACCGCGTGCTATGCCATGCTTTGCTTGCACTTGTCTCTCTTTCCCTCTATTCGACCTGTGAGTATCAGATCCTCCAGGCGACTTCTTTCTCATTACGTGTCCCAGAAATTCCATCTGCCTCTTCCTGGTGTTAAGTATGAGCTTCCTCCTTGTTTGCTTTCTCTCAAAAAGATCATCGTTGCTCATACGCTCGGTCCATGATGTCCTTAACATCCTTCTGTAGAAGTATACCTCTATTGCCTTGAGTCTCTTCAAGTCCCAAGATCCTCTTTTTGGAAAGAGTTGAAAGGCTCACGAGCCAGTTTATCATGCCCAAAAAACTTTCATTAATTATAATGTGATCGAAACTTAGCATTAATATGTAGGTAAACAGATCACACGTCCGGACACACACACACACACACACACACACACACACACACACATACACACATATATATATATATATATATATATTTCTTTAAATTAGAATCTTAAGCCTTGCTTTGGGGTGAGTATGCATCTACACACACACACGCATAAACTTTCCTTAAATTTCCGTCTTTTCAGGTCAAAATTTCTAAGCCCTATTTCCTCATCATGTGAGAAAATTACTTGGAATTCCTGAGGATAAATAGTAACCATCAATGAAAATAAATTAGATAACACCTTCAATGTCCAGAACTAAAGAGCGTGTAAACGTCAAGGGAGGTAACTAAGTGATTGTGACGTATAAATATAAAAACTTTCTTAAAACTATTAGTTAAAACCTAAGACATTTTAAGCTATCTACTGTAAACATTTTGGCAGTATTTATAATTACATATACATACTTGCATATATGTCTCCATACATACATACCGCCCAGGCATGTACATATATTAGAGCCATTTTTTGTATAACTGCATATACATATACATGCCTACACGCACACACACACACATATATATATATATATATATATATGTGTGTGTGTGTGTGTTTGTGTGTGTGTGTGTGTGTGTGTGTGCATACAAATGCAGAGTGCTGCAAATGTAGGTATACAGTAAGTATTATACAAGCATCACTAGTATTATAATCGTGGTTCTAGGATTCATTTAATACTCGAATTCATTTAATTCATTCCAATCATTTTTAATATTTTTATTTTCATAAATATTTTGCAGGTATAGATGATGGGGTATTTGAAGAATTCATATGTTTATTACTGATGTGTTTAATATTTATATGTTTCCATAATTAGTACAATACGTTTTGTGATCACGTTTTGTTTTTCATTACTGTATATCTACTTTTGCACAACTTGTACGCATTTACCATATATTACAATTTGATATTTACACTATTTTATGCCGAGCACTGCAAAAGTAGGTATACATGAAGTATTATACCAGCATTATAATAGTGGTTCTAAGATTCATTTAATATTCGAATTCATTTAATTCATTAAAATATTTTTAACATTTTATTTTCATAGATTTTATCATAATACATTTATTATTATTTTTATTCTTTAATAAATAATAATAATAAACATTTTTCAGGTAAGAAGGTGTGTGTGTGTGTGTGTGTGTGTGTGTGTGTGTGAATGACGGGGGCAAACAGTTTGAACATTTGAGGGATTCATATTGATAGTTTATTATTGATGTTTTGATTATTGATATATTTTGTATAATCAGTACAATACGTTTTGTGATTATTTTTTTGTTTTTCATTACTATATACATTTATGCACACACACACGCACATATATATAATATAGAGACTTTTTATGTATACTTGTACACATATATATGCATACATATAATATTTCTTATATATATGTGTGTGTGTTTGATGTAACAGGAAAGAACAGTGAGATTAATGATCAAACAGTGCTCGTTACAGTAGTAGAGCTTAAAATTATAATTATTTTTTAAATATATGATTCCATCCCAACATAAAAATCACTGTTTCGAAACTTGACTCAAGTCATAAAGTTTAATTTTAATATTAAACTTAAAATTTAGAGTACAGTTTCATTCTCAAGCGATGTTTAGAATAACTAACTGAAGAAATGATTTGCTTATTTTTAGGTTGGAAATAGAGGTGTAATCTTTTTTTTTCTTTCGTTATCAAGGGGTCACTACTGTGATGAATGTATGAATGTTTATTATATGTCAAATTTTTGGAGTCGTGTCAGGTTTGGTTGGGGGATTTTTGTCTGGCTACAATGGCTCTTTTTCCCCAGGCTCTGTTGATTTTATTACCATTTGTTAAACACTTACTGACTAATGTTTTAGTTACAGTCTTTTTGGTGTTAATTTTTATTGTTTTTCCTATTGATGGTTTCTTAAAGGGGTGCTTAGATATGATTGGGTTGTATTTTGATTCTATAGTTTTTACGTGTTTGAAATTTATTTAATTACTATTTCAGAGTGATTTTATAAAAAAAATCTTGCTAAGTTTACTGTTATTGGGAAATGTTTTTTCGGTTAAACCTAGGAATATTTGTCCTAGCTTATTACTAACCATTTGGTTGAACGGAGCGCGTGTACCAAATGATTTTTCTTTTTATATTTTTCTTTTGGTTTGTACTGTTATTTTTTACATAAATGATGTTAATATGTTTGTAGCCACTATTTGTTAGAATTTGGTTTATAAAAATTACTATGTTTATAGAATATTTCTTCGTTTGCGTAATTTCTACTAATTCTGTTCTCAATTGATGAAGATATCTGCTTAATTATAGAGGGAACGTGATTTGACCTGGAGTGTACTGTCTTATGCCCTAGTCGACGAATGGGTTTATAAGGCGATCATACGCCGACTAGAAGATATATACATTCTCACACCTGTGGAGAGATACAAGCTATCTCTCTCAGATCGTGACAATGGACAATTGGTAAACAAGAAATATTTTTTTAAGAACACTGTTCGATTAGGATAATCGAACAGTCATCTTTCCCAGGTCCGCTTCGTTTTCAACACGAATACTGATCCACAATACAAGGATGAACTATAAGGCTTAGCGATTTTTGATACAAGAACTTTAATATGTACAGATATACAAATATTAAAATAAAAGAAAATATAAGTATGAGTTAAAAACATCCGACGACCAGATCTCAAGACTTACGTTGGGATATCAAAATTCGCCTAACTCCAAATGGATTCAACTGAACCCGAACATACAAAAATATAAGTATGAATTACTATGAATGCAGAAGCCAACGCATACACAAAAGAGATGGAATAGGAGTTACAATTATTATTTTGACATGTGGAAAGGTGTTTGCAAGAACATAATATTCATGGATGTATGTATATCTTTCTATTACGGGTCCAAAATATGATTATTTATCTTTTATATTCAGTTCTCTTTTTTATCATTGTCCTTTCTTTTCTTTTCTTGACAAGAATAAAATTTCACACACTGTCCGGCTGTAATAAAGGTATACCCTTTCTTCCTCTCTTTGTTTTGCCTTTTTCTTTCCTTCCTTTTTCTTCTGTAGACAGTTCGGTTTCCAAATCCGACTCACTGCAACAGGGATATACACTTTCTTCCTCTCTTTGGTTTTCTTCTTTCTTTCCTTCTTCTTCTTTACACAATTCAGCTTATAACAGAGGTATACACTTTCTTCTCTGGTTTTTCCTTTTTCTTTCTTTACACAATTCAACTTGTAACAGAGGTATATACTTTCTTCTCTGGGTTTTCTTTTTTCTTTAAACGCAGACTGAATCCTCAGCGTATAAATTTCTCTGCGCCTTCAATTTGGGGTTATTGAACAGAAATACTTCTTCTTATATTTCTTGTCCGGAGTTGCCTGGGTTGAACTGGATAAGTTCCATCACTATCAAATGAGTCTTATCTTTCCGTTCATAAACTATCGGCGCTTCGACTTCAGGTCTTGCTCCTTCAAAGTCAAGATAGCAACCGATTCCCAAGTGAATCTCTGACTATCACGTGTCTTAAGTTTTGGCGTGAATTCCAGTTTACATCAGTCCTCTGTCTAGCTTCTGTCTAGACATTTGTCGCTACGGGTAATTGGGTCAGTCAACTTTTTGACTTGCTTTCCCCAAAATGCCCCTATTCTGTTGCTAGACGGAAATTAACCTTAATATATGCGTGTATGCGTGCTTATGCTATCTGCGTTCGTCACAGTACATACAAATGATTAGTATTAGATTATTCATTAAGTCTAATGTTATGTCGAGGAAATTTACCCTTTTCAGTTTTGTGTTAACCGTAACTTTTAAATTTAGGTTTCTGAATTCTTTCTGTATTATTTTTCTAATTTTATCTATTTTAAGGTTAGTAGATCTCCCGACACTGAAGTTTGCAACTATATACCCAGAGCTAACAGAAGAAGAAAAAAACATAATACTCAGCGAAAAAAAAAAAATCTTCATTCATAACGGTGACCAATGGATTAAAAACTCCAAAGACCATTTTGACATCACAATGGAATCATTACACTCAGCAGAGTCTTCTGACATTGTTGGTCTATTTGTATTATATAGACTAACTGCGCACGGTGAAATAGATATTAAAGACATCGGGCTATACAGAGATGATGGCCTTAAGGTAGTCAGAAGATCTACTAACTTTAAAATAGATAAAATTAAAAAAATTATACATAGAGAAATCAGAAATGATAATAAAATACTGAAAAAATACACATGCCAAAATCAAATAAATAAAGATTCTAAAATGAAAACGGAGACTAATAATGAAAAATTATGTAATTGTACAAACCCTGAGAATTTTCCATTCAATAAAAAATTCCGCAAAAATTCCGTAGTATGCCAATACACAATCTCATCCATTGAGAATCCGAATATGGAATATATATATATATATATATATATATATATATATGGGATCCACAAGAAATGAAATTAAAATGAGGTCAGACAACGCCAAAGTTCCTTCAATAATATTAAAATAAAGTAACCAAACATCCCTATCTAAAAAATTTTGGCAGTTAAAAAAAAATAAAAACACCGACAGTAAAATGGAAAATAATAAATAGCACAAGAACATGTAGAACGTAGGATGACCCATTTTCTTTGTGCCTATATGGAAAACTAAACATTATCAAGTTTCTAAAAAACAAACAAATTATTAACTCAAAGAAATGAAATAACGGTTTTTTGCAGACACCTCCAAATATATATCTTCAAAAATTAGTAATTTATGAATTGATAAAAAATTTCCGCAATATCATATATAGGGAATTACACAATGATATATTAGATCTATGAGCAAATTAAATAAATTTAAGACACATATAAAACTATAGAATTAAAATACAGCCTATCATATCTAAACAACCCTTTAAGAAACTATCAATATGAAAAACAAATAAATTAACATTAAAAAGACTATAACTAAAACACCAGTCTTTAAGTTTCAACAAATAGTAATAAAATCAACAGAGCCTGGGAAAAAAGAGCCTTTGTAGCCAGACAAAAATCTCTCAACTAAACTTGACACAACTCCAAAAATTTGACATATAATAAACATTCATCACAGTAGTGACCCCTTGATAACGAAAGAAGAAACCCAGATTACACCTCCATTTCTAACCTAAAAATAAGTAAATCATTTCTTCAGTTAGTTATTCTACACTTCGCTTGAGAGTGAAACTGTACTCTAAATTTTAAGTTTAATATAGAAATTAAACTCTATGACTTCAGTCAAGTTTCGAAACAGTAATTTCTGTGTCGCGGTGGAATCATACTTTTAAAAATAATTATATATATATATATATATATATATATATATATATATATATATATATATATATAAATTACGAGATCAGTCGACATCGCTGCTTGGTTCCAACCTTTCGGTAATGTCAGACGGTTTGTATCAATTAATTTCCCAACGCTATATTTAAAAAAAAATTAATGAACAATTTATTATTTTTAAAAATAAATACGCACGACGTTGAGTATGATAGGAAGGGAAGAGGAGGATGCGAAGAAGGAGGGGAAGTTTAAGAAGGAAGATGAGAAAAGAAAGTGTATTGTTAATGTATCACTGGAGGTGGGGAATTTAAATGTACATATATTTTATCCAGCCTCATGTGAAATTAAGAGGAAATTTTGTAGGAATGCAAGGGCTCATAATTTCGGACCTTTGATTCAAAAAGTTTTTTTTTTTTTTAGATCCAGGAGTGTTTTTATTGATAACTTTTCTTGTTGGCGGTAGTTGCAGATGTAGTTGGTGTAAGATTTCACTTTTTTAAAATTTCCCAGTTTATATTTGAATCTTTCTTGTTTTTATCTTTTAATTTGCACACATGTTTAGCCAGTTTGGTGAGGTTTCTAAGACTTTTTAGATTGAAAATCGACATGTGATTGTAGCGTCTTCCTTTGAAACTACCTTCGGGATGTACAGAAGGTTGTTTCAATGATTTTTTTTTTAAACAAAGCGCTGGGAAATCAATAGATACAAACTGGCTGATAATACCGAAAGGTAGGAACCAAGGTAACGGAATCGATTGATCTCTTAATTTCTAAATTTAATTTAAAAGCTCTATGTGTTAAATTTTTATTTTTATTTTTCACACGTGTATTGAGCACTTTTTAATACTACTGTTTCCGGGTCTAATCCAACTCTGACCATTATTTTTTCAGTGTAATATATATATATATATATATATATATATATATATATATATAATTATTATTTTTTTAAAATATGATTCCATCGTTACACAGGAAATACCATGTTTCAAAAACAGAAGCTAAAACCTTCCAATCAAATTTTATTTTCAAGTAAATTTTGGAATTCCAAAATTCACTTGAAAATGTAACAGAACTAAGTACTTTAATTTAATTTCTATAATTGAATTGGAAGGTTTTAGCTTCTGTTTTTGAAACATTGTAATTCCTATGCAGCGATGGAATCATATTTTTAAAATATTTATAATTTAGGCTCTACTTGTGTATCGAGCACTGTTTTTTAAAAATAAAAAAATACTAAAGAACTTCGCGTCATCAATCTAGCGTTTCTTTCCTATTTTATCAATATATTTGCACACACACACACAAACACACACAATATATATATATATATATATATATATATATATATTTGAATATATCCATTCTTAAAGCCCAAATACAATTTTGTATCAATCCCTAGATTATGTAAACGTAAATTTTCTATTTCTTTTTACCACTCGTCAAACTTTTCTCATACTCTCTCCCCATTTCTCAACTCTTTCTCTTTCCCACTCTCTCTTAATACACTCTCTCTCTCTCTCTCTCTCTCTCTCTGTGTGTGTGTGTGTGTGTGTGCTTTTCTTCTATCTCTTTCCGTCCAATTGTTTCTCTTTCACACTTCCTTTCTTTTTCTCTTTCAATTGCAGTCTCTTTTTTCTCTACACTCGTTACACCTTTCCCATATCGTTTACCTCCCATTCAAACGCACACACGCACACGCGTACACACGCAATAATTCGTTTTTTATAGAACTATTTTTATTTCCATAAAACAAGGCTCATGATCCACTCAAGTTAGAGGGTTACTGAATGTTATTGTGTGTGCTTAAGATAAGAAAGTAAAAAAATGCAGTTTTTTTTATATGAATTCACTCCAAGCAAGGTGATAATGCCCCTAAGACGCAAGGTGTTAGTGGGAATAAAACAGAATGAGAAGACTTTAGAAGCAATCGGACAGACAATTCAAAACAGGAAACAAGGGATAAACCCTACTCCTGATCTCTCTTCTTTACATTGTCTAAGTTTTACTACTGTATCTTTCTAAGTGACTCTCTCTCTCTCTCTCTCTATCTCCTTCTCACCCTCTCTCTCTTTCTCTGTTTTTCTTTCTTGTTCTCTTTCTATGGCAGTCTCTTTTTCCTTCTTGCAAATTCTCTCCATCTCCTTTCTACTGCCGCTCTCCTCCCAATTATCTCTCTCTATTATCTTTCAACTCTCTCTTTCCTTACGATTCTCTATCTCCATCTACTTCCCTATTCTATCTCTCCTCATTCTCTCTACCATCACCTTTTAATGCACTTCTCATTCCCACTCTCTCTCTTTCATTCTACTTTCTACTGTATCTTGCCTTCATATTCTCACACTCCATCACCCTTCTACTCTCTCTCTCTCTCTATGTCTCATTTCAAAATCCTCTCCCCTTCCATTCTCTCTCCTTTCTCCTCTCTCTCTTTCTCCTTCCCTATCTCTCCATCTCCTTTTTACTGCATCTTTCCGCCCCTCAATTTCCCTCCATCTTTCTATTGTCTCTTCCCTTCCTATTCTCACGCTACATCTCTTTTCTAATGTCTCTTTCTTTCCCATTATCTCTCTCCCTTCCTCTCTTCTTCCCTTTCTCACCATCTACTTATACAATCTTTCTCCGTCCCATTACCCCCTCTCTCTCCCGTCTTTCTTCCTCTCATTCTCTCTATCCATCTCCTTTCTACTTTCTACTATATCTCGACATAATTTTTTACTGTCACTCTCCTTCCTATAATCTCTCCCTCTCCATCACTTTGTCGTCCCCATTCTCTCCATCTCTCTCTCTCTCTCTCTCTCTCTCTCTCTCTCTCTCTCTCTCTTTCTGACTCTCTCTCACACACACACACACGCTCTGGCTTTATTGCTGTGTACATCTCAGCCCATATACAGAACTCTAATGTTTGTTTTTTCTTTTTCTATTTCCCATCAATTTCTCATATGTCATACAATCTAATCTTCCAGACACACTCTCGCATTCTTCTGCACATTTCCTGTTCCGGTGTCTGGAACAACTTACACTTGTTTAACGAAAATCTTACATTTTCTTTTTCTTATCTTCACCAGGAGTGTTCCTGTTCTGCTGGTGGCCATTCTTTACGATCAACATCATCAATGCCATCTGCCTCCGCTATGACCTGGAACATGTGGCCGCTTGCACACTTGACCCTATTCTGTTCAGTTTTTTCACGTGGCTCGGCTACATCAACAGTTTTCTTAACCCGGTCATCTATACCATCTTTAATCCAGAATTCCGAAAGGCATTCCGTCGAATTCTCACTGAGCCATGCTTTGCTTCGCGATAGAGAGAAAAGAAAAAAAATATTAAAAACTGAAGAAAAACCATGAAGCAAAGAAAGCTCTAGAAATATGATGATAAAAATTAAAACAACACAAAGTTTGCAAATCGAGACAAGGAAGTAAAAATTAAAATTAAAAAAAAAATGAACAGAAAAGAATGGAGAAATTTCCATAAATTGACTTTGATTTACTAAAAAGATGTAGAAAAAAATGAAAGCGAAGATTAAAGGCCAAGATGGAAGACAAAAGAAAAGTGAATGCCAAGAAAGTAGGTTAAAAAAAACGACTTTAAAGACAAGACGGAAAGAAAATAGTAAAAACAAATCGTTTGAAGGAAAAAAAATGAAAGATCAAAATTAAAATAAAATAATACCAACCTCTCCTTTTAGAAGGAAGAAAATCTTCATGTTACATATATATATATATATATATATATATATATATATATATATATATACTGTATACATATATTTTTTCAATCTATAGCAGGCACAATTATATACATCTGCATACATATATTTTCAGTGTTACGTCTGCGCATATATATATATATATATATATATATATATATATATATATATATATATATATATATATATATATATATATATACAAAATATGTCCACACCTATAATACAAACAATATAACATATGTATATTTTACAAAAAATAATCTATGGATACGTATTGCTCCCTTTCTCTGCATACATATCATATACTCTCATGGCATATTATAAATTATAGCATCTAATATATATATATATATATATATATATATATATATATATATATATAATATATATATATATATATATGCATCGGATTCCTATGCAGAGTATATATATTATATGGTTACATTATTCAAATGTATGTATAAAATGATATACGCATATTTATGTGTCTGTATCAACACGAATATACATAATAGTATATGGGTGTGTAAATATATGAGTGGCATGTTATGTTTATGGAAATGTGTTTTTATATAACAAGGGTTCATATACGTTTGCATATTAATGCACATAGTAGGCACGATATATATTTATATATATATATATATGTATATATATATATATATATATATATATATATATATATATATATATGTGTGTGTGTGTGTGTGTGTGTGTGTGTGTATGAAATATGTATATATATATATATATATATATATATATATATATATATATATATATATATATATATTCGGTATTTAAGGAACTAATCCTCTTTTATACAAGTTTCATTGAAGACGACTGACAAGGCACAGCGATTAAGCTTTTTTATTATATTTTCTTGCATTCGTACGAGTGTTTTTTTTGGGGGGTGGAGGGTATAGCGAATAAGAACTGTGCAAATGTTCTATGTATCCGAGCGTTTTCTGGTAACCCAATAGGATTTTCATTTTTTGTTTGTGTAAATATGTAGATTTTTAACATCACAGTGCTTTGTCTATTGTCTTCAATGAAACCTTATATATATATATATATATATATATATATATATATATATATATATATATAATGTGCACATATATACACACACACACACACATATATATATATATATATATATATATATATATATATATTTCCATATATTATTTATATATTATATATGCGCATTACTTATTCGAAAGCGCTCAATATCAGTGATAGAGCTAGGATATTTAGTTGGATTGATGTGAGTTTGTGACCATGGGGTTCCTCCCTTTGCGATCGTCAGACAAAATGATTGATTTTCAAATTTTGTCATTAT